ATAAGAGACAGCAGTGTAGTCTGTACACTGTAGAGTGTAGGCTACTCAGTGTAGTGTAGACTGTAGACTGTGTAGTAGGGCATAACTGTGCAGTGGCCAGTGTGCAGTGTACAGAGTTTGGTCACCAAAATTGATTAGGTAGCTGGCCTATTATTAGCAACTAGGTAGTAAGTAGCTAAGGCCCATAACTTTTAAAGCATTGCAGATAATTTGTCACTTTTAGTTTTAGTGTCATTACAGTTTACTCCCTTATTTGAATTTTGAAAGGTAAAACTAGAAAGATATGTTACCATCAGTTCTAGAGAGACTATCAGACTAAAGCACTAAAAGTAAAAGCAGTGGTTTTAAACCTGCAGGCTGCAGTGGTTGGGAACTTGGGACTTGGGCAAGCATAGTGGCAAAGCAGAGAGTTTTTTAGACTCTCCCTCAAGTTTATTTTTGAGTCCTATATGTAGACCATTAAAGTATCCTGGATACCAGCATTATCATACTTAAGAAAATACAGGGCAAGCATGAAAAATTTATACATTAGGGCTGCAACTGGTGCTTTCCCATCCCGCCATTGCCATGGTTACATATATATATGGCATGGTAATACTTTAGATTAAGTGCATCCAAAAATAGGGTGTTTTTTTTCTTTAATTAGGGTAAATGCGGTATATTCCGACATCGTAGGTAATTCCGTCACGGCATCACCTCTCCAGCTTTTCCTTTATATTAAGCTTTGTTTTAGTTCCATTGTCATTACAGTTTACTCCCTTATTTGAATTTTGAAAGGTAAAACTAGAAAGATATGTTACCATCAGTTCTAGAGAGACTATTAGACTAAAGCAGAGGTTTTAAACCTGCAGCCGCAGGCTGCAGTAGTTGGGACTTGGGCAAGCATGAAAAACTTATAGGGCCTTACCATTAGGGCTGCAACTAGTGCTTTCCTGCCATTTCTGAAACTGCCAGATTTCAGTCAGATGAATTACCTCCTATGTCCTATCTAATTGTTAACAAAAGAGCACAATCAATCCACAAGATTCCAAATGTATTGAAAACTTGTCACGTTTGAGCTGCAAGATTTCAGAAACAAATACCTAGCTAGGAAAATTCCAATCTCAATCCTGGACTAAGTGGACTTTGGAGTTTGGGGTATGACCACAATCCACAAAGCACCTATCCCTGCCGTCAAATGGGGTAATAAGGGTCAGGTGGGGTAAATTGGGACAGTCTTCTATCATTTTGTCGAAATGTTGTAGCAGCTAAACTAATTGAATTATTATTGCAAAACTAAAAATAGTACATAGTGTAAAGTTCCAACATTTTCCCTATCTGTGCAGTGTAATGCAAGTTAAGAGATCATACAAAATGATACAATTACTACCTCTGAAAAATCCCTGAAAAAAGTTTGAAAAGTGAGAGTTTGGAAAAGTACCTCTGCTAAGGTCTGTAGCAAAAAAATATATATATATGTCATATTAAGAAATTTTACTTGCAAAAAAGTTGCACGCAGGTGTTAGCTTAAAAACATGATTGCAAGTATTTGCATAGCTCAATCCCCAAAAAATGACAGCTGTTTCTGCAAGATGGAGTAATGAGAGACACCCTACAGAGTAATACGCACACGAGACACTTTTAAAAACACATTTATAGTAGAATCTTGTTTAGCAAAGGCTTCATGTAATTAAAAAATTGATTAACAACAAATAATTTTGATTATATTTACCTTGCTCAGCAAAAAATTTACTTAACAAAAAATTAATGCATCATGGGACATGGGTCATCACAAAATTATGCATAGAATGTCTGTGTCATAGATAGAATTGTGCACCAGACAACATGTAATGAAAAGTAATTAACCTAAACTATCATTTATTTCTCCAAAAAAATATGATGATTGTCACTAATATATTCATTTCTGCACAGCCTTTTACAATATTTTTTTGTTATAGCGAATTCACTAGACCTAATCAAAATGGTGCAAAATTACCTGCCCAGTCCTTTAAGCTTACAGATACAGAAGAAATGCTATACGGCTGCTGCTATGAAGCTTGCAGTACACAAAGTTGTTGTCAATGCTCAATGGCATGTCCATGGATATGGTAATATCACATCAATAAAGAAAAATCAAGTACATTTCACAGAAATGTCATTTATTCCACATCTACATCATCTACAAAGGAAGAAGAGGATTTCAGAGTACTGTTAGTAATGAATGAGTAGTCAAGTACACTCTGCATGTTTCAAATATTTTAAAATTAAGTTTTATCTCGTGTCCAAAATCTCATCGCTCCCAGCCCCCATGGGTAATTTGGGATGCTTTCCTTTTGCGTCTGGCACCTTACAAAATACAAATAGCATATAGACTTTTTTGGAAATGCCATGCTATAACCCTTGCAAAGACCTTTAAAATGAGCCTAAACTTGTATATTAAATATTTCATGGTAAGAAGTCATTACAAGAAATGCTCAAAATTGCCTTTCATTACCTACCCCTTTTGATGGTATGTTGACTTTTTCAATTTGTGGATTTTGAGTAGATTAAGTGCAATTATACATTTTCTAAAGCTTTAAGTAATGGTATTGATATGAAGGAGGATTATTTACCTAGGTACCGTACTTAGGATTAGTGACTCCAACTTGAAATTGATGAAAAAAGTCACCAATGACCTTCTTGGGCATGTTGAGCAAGCAGTTATCTTTAGTTAAACCAGTATACCGTAGTTTTTTTAGTGCAATCATTTTGATGAAAGAGTGATCTGCTTACAAATGGGACTAAATTATTCTATAATCAAGATATTTCATAAAATACTTACCTGACTGCTACTTAGGTTATGTAAGCAATATTGTTTAATTTGTTAGAGTTCACATAGCTCAGAGCAGTAAAAAACTATTATGTGGTTACTGCTGTAAAGTTGATAACTATTAGGGGTGGGACTGTGGTTCAGAATTGATTGATGGTGATTGAGTTCATTTATGTTTGCACTCCAACACAGTTGACTGATGGTGAGACTATGGCGCTCAGTTGACTGATGGTGAGACTATGGCACTCAGTTGACTGATGGTGAGATTATGGCACTCAGTTGACTGATGGTGAGACTATGGCACTCAGTTGACTGATGGTGAGACTATGGCACTCAGTTGACTGATGGTGAGACNTTGCCTGGTTAACGACAGCTTAGATTTAGGACGTCTGTTTATTTTAGCTAATGGAATCTGGGGTTAGGTCTGGAGCTGTCTCTTATACACATCTAGATGTGTATAAGAGACAGTGTTTGTACCATGAGTTAAGTGTTTTACTGCCTCGCATAATTCTGTGCCCATTGATATATAACTTACATGCTTTTGTTTCTATTTGAAGGTTTTATGGCCTGTGGCTGTGTGAGGTTACAGGTTCATGCACCTTAAAATGCACCATGAGTGACTTGGGGCTCAATGATGATGATGATGAGTATGTTGACGTAATTGAAGATTTTTCATACACGTATCAGGGACGGAACCACAGAATTTACCGAAATGAACGCTACTTGGTGCTTCAGAAGAGAACTGATTGGTGGCAGGTAAGTTGTATATACCATTTGTAAATATTTTGCTTATCAAAGCAAATTGATACCGTACTGTTCACAAGCAAATTCAGACTGATTATTTTATTGTAATTGGATGTGAACTTTGGTAAAGTTTGCAATTAAGGGTGACATTCTAAAGTTAAGAGATCCTGCAAGGTGGCCATAGAGTCTGGGTAGTTGCAAATACAAATGTATCATGTCCAACACAAACATAAAGCTTGGTAGTTCAGATATTTCTTTATCAGCAAGGAAACTATTGCAGTCTGAGTATTGGACAAAATTTGTCGTTACATTGGGTTATGACAAATTTTGAAGTACCCTTCGAGCTGACTTCTTTGACTGAATTTTGCATCAGTAATGTTACCTATAATTAATTTAGCTACAACCAGGACAAAAAATTTGCATTGTCTTTTCTTTCTCATAAAGCTTTCTTGAGAATAATTTCAAATTTACGTGAACCCAAAAATGGCATTTTGTATTATATTGCATGCATGGGGACTGCCTACCCTTCAGACAAGGGCTCTAAATATCAGATATTACAGAAGCCTGGAGTATAGGGAGACTTTATTTAATACATGTCTGGTGCTGCTGATGGAAGCTAGGAAGTATTGGAGTCATGACTGTCATGGTGGGAACTTTTTCTGTTTTTGACCACATGGTGTGGAATGTCCCTGCTGTCATAATATTACCTATAGTTTGAGTATGGTTTCCCAAAAAGGAACGAAATTGTTATGAATAAATGATATATTTATGTTGTATATTTGTTTCATTGTGTGTTGCTACTGAAATTCTATCTTACAGATTGTTGACACAAATAAGAAGGTCATCTGGGCACCCAAGTCATACCTCCGCCTTGCTAAGATCACGACGCAGCAGAAGAAAGACACGTTGAAAGCAAAGTTTCAGCGATCTCCTGAGGTGGCTGCAGGTCTCGGCAGCAGCAGCAACTCTCCTGCGCTTGATGCAGAGCAAGCCCGACTCCTTGCGTGGTTAAAACAAGACCTGGCACAGGACTATCAACGTTCACTACATCAGAAGCAATATACTGAATCAGAATCTTTACAATCAAATCGACAAAGCTTGAAGAAAAAGGAAGGTAGGTACTCTAAAAAGGATATTAGCCATCCTGTGCCAAACACCTACACACTACCACATGTTGAAATCAAAGACACTGAGGATTCCAGCAACTATCAAAATAGGAAGAAACCACAGAAGATAACAAAGGAGGATATCAGTCGGCCTATATTATTTTCTCATTTTCCTAACTCGTTGCAGCAAACTCCAGCACTTGTTCCTGGGTGCCGAGAGTCCCAGTCAAATGCCTCCTCAATATCTGACTATAACAGGAATCCAGTTGATGCCTTCCTCACTCACAGCAATGGAGGCTCAGGCAAGTCATCTCGCCTGAGCCTGTGTGAAGGCAGTGTCTGCAGCTCTGACTCCTTAGATGACATTATAGAAGAATCTGATACTCTTTGTAGTGGCAGATTCAGTACAATTGAACACGTGAACTCGGAGTATTCTAGTCGCAATGTTAAGAGCGGGAAAGCTTCTAGTGATGAACAGCTTGATAGTCCCCCTAGTTTTATTGATCACATGTTGAATAATTCATTGTCATCCAGAAATAGATCAAATTCTGTAGATTTCAAATCTTTATCTCGAGATCGGTTTTATGCGGACGCTAATGACAATGTGAAGAAAAGTATCAAAGCTACCGATGATGAGCGCGTCCTACGGCGCCGGTCGCTGGTCATGGACGAGATCAGGCCACAGAACAGCTCCTACCCACGGACCGTCACTGACGACATCGACGTGTCACACTGGATTGACTCTCCTCCACCATCGCTCCCTCCAAAGAAAAACAAAAGCAAGGTCAACAAGAGTAATTTGCTAAGTGACACTTCCAATCAGGAAATCATGAGGCATTTACAACCTTTAAACCAGCATGTACCACAGCCTGAAACTCATGGTGATCTTGTCAAAGATGGTACCTATGACGGCAGTAATTACAGATCTGAGCATTTTGCCTATGGACAAGAACCTCTACCTTTACTGCAAGACAGCAAAATGTTGAGTTTTGTTGGCAACCAGGCAGGTCAATTTAACGTAAAGGAACAATATCCTGCTTCATTAGAACATTCCTCTAGAAATTCTGCAGCTCTGACAGGCGGATCTGCCTGCAGAATTGCTCTCACCAAGACGCTGTCACAGGAGGATGAACCTGGCAGCCAGAAACCTCCCCTGACGAACACCATGTCAAGAAGTTACACTTGCATTGGTACGTTCTCCAACTCGGAGCACAATAAACACAATCCTGCAGCTGGAATAATCAATAGAGGAGATGACTTCAAGAGATCTTTCAAAGAGAAATCTGAGGCATCAAAGCGCAAGGGAAGCATCCGCAATTTCTTCTCGAGGGGAACTTCGAAGCAGGCTGATCCCAAGAGACGCGAGTCAGTGCCCCATCCCAATCAAGATGTTGCAGTTAAAGTTCCTCAGGTATGGTATAGTTTGAATTATTTTTCATATTAATTCAGAAAGTTTATCTCTTGGGTTTTGAAATCAAAAGCAAAATAAATTACTGGTTCCTGGATGTCTGTTCCTGTTGTTTTATTTTAATCATTGTTTTATATACCGTATTTGAAGGGTGCTTGTCTTTATTGTCTACAGGCTCCTGACACTGGTGTGCAGACAAAACTGCCTCCTAATATCTATCTTCTAAACTGCTGCACTTCTCTTTAAAATTATCTAATATCCAAATGATAAAGTCTCGGATTCTAATGTTTGAAACCAACTAATTTGAATAAATTATAAACTTCTTTCTCTCTTAAATAAATTTCATCTGTTGCAGTGTCCGCCATCTCCCAGCCCGAAACACAAGCCCCTGCGAGAGCTTCATGATGAATGGGTTGAGTATTGGAGTCCTGAGGACAACTGCTCTTTCTATTATAACAGAACAACAAAAGAACACAGAAGGAAGCCTCCTCGTAAAGTTCAGCAGAAACACGAGCATTCAAATAATGTGAGTAAGCTCAATTATGAGACATAACTTGCAGGTCAAAGGCTGGTATATGAAGCTTGGTTTTATGTTTTACATTTTTTATTCCAATTAAAAGTGATGTTTGATGATTTGATATTGATTTTTTGAGGTTCTCTTATAAATTAGTGTATCTATTTTCAATTAAGTTGGAGCAAATAATTCATATTACTAAGCTCAAATTTTCAGACAGTGTTCTTGACTTGAGCAGGACCTGCAAGCAGATGTCGGTGAGCGCCCTAACGGTGGAGGCGCGCCTGTATTGGGCAACTTCATCACTGACACTATGGCCCCCAACCACGATTATTGGGGCCAGCGCAGTCTTACGCCCTCCTCAATGACCAGCAGCGGAAGCTCCTACGTGGAGCCTCTTCTCGTACCGCAAGCATTCCAGCAGTCGCAACATCTGCGGCCGCCTCAGCCTTCGTCCATAGACAGCATATCTTCCAGTGCTAGCTCAGGGGGCAACCACGCCAGCTCTGACCTGTCTCGAGGCCATGCAGAAGCCAGCAACTCCAAAGCTCATTTGATGCCACAGACCAATCAAAATTTGAATTTATTGTCAGCACAGCATCACTGCAATGGTGCTTGTCATGATCGTACCATGACAGGTAATGATCCAGGCGCCACTGAGGACCAAATATCTGCTCCCAACTTGTCTGGTGACACACCAAGTTACGTGTGGCAGTCGCTACCAGCGCAGCAGCACCAGCACAGCCCTGCGCTGCCTCCCCGGCCTCCTCATGGGGCAAAACCAACGTCATCTGCCGACCCTTCAGGTGGTTGATTGGTCTGCTCTGCTGCATGGGGGATTATATTACATTGTTTGCTGTAACTAGGTTTTTGCTACTTTTCTGCACTTTGTGGTTAGATCTTGGGGCACGCAATTTCAGAGACTATGTAATCTCCCACATGCAAATCCTGTCATCACGAACCTAATGCTGTCGCGTGAACAGCTTGTTTTAATTTTTTGCGCCAGATAAGATATTATAACTAAATTTATTCTCACATTGAACCATGCCCGGACTTATTTATATCCAAAGTTCTGAAACGCAACTCGTGCCATAAAGCTTTGCTTGTTTCTGAAGGCTTCTTGTTGTGCTGCTGGCTTCACTGTGTCTTCATACTGAACACTCGACAGAAATTCCCGTACACTATTCAATTTAGTTTAGTTTTTCCCAAGTTCACCGTTTTGGAATTAATCCACATCCCATTAAGGAGAGCATCCATCAGCTCATTTTGCTATGGTGTAATTTTATTTAAAGCCACAATAAGCGATTCTTGAAGTCCTGACCAGTCAATTATGACGTAAATTTGTTGTTGAGATGTTCCGCACCTCCGATGAAGGAATTTCTGTTGCTTGTTTTGAAGAAAGACTTGTTCTTCCACACAGAATTTGATGGAGCTGAAATTTTCAGAACTTTTATTGTGCGTATGTATACTCGTACAGTCGCCCCGTCTCTAAAGAAGGGATTAGTTATTTTGTGCTTGCATTTTCCCTCGACGGTCCTTTAATTTAAGTAAATGTGGCGCGATGTCCATTTGAGTTGTCATCTTGGCAGTACTTTGCACTCTATGCTATCGTTGATATTGAAGCTTGTTGACAAATCTGATAGCCCTTAACAGGTCTTGTGTCGAATGCGGGGATTAATCAAACCTTTTCTATCCTTTTGCGGACTGCCTCATGAGGTCATGATTATTAGAATATGTTTCAAATGCGATCAGGAAGTGAACTTTCAAATTCCCCCGTATCAGTTATATATTCAACTATCGGGTACCTATGCAAAGCACCAAGACTGTTGAAATTATTTAAATCCTACTTGTTAATGTATTTTAGACATCTTATATTCTTTGCCTCTAATTTGAAATCGTTCAATTTTGTTCACATTGCTTTATAGTTTTTCTCAAAAGAATACATGTTGCAGACACGATCAACGAAACGGACTGCGTGAGGGAAGCCCTGGCCGACGTTCACATCCCCAGCTGCTACGAGAGGGAGGAGGACGACGTGTTATTCACCAACAAAATAACTGGTGAAAAGGTGAGTGACTTGCTGCTGTATGTGCGTGATGATATGTGAGGGAAGTGACGTTGGTGAGTGTGTGAGGTGAGTGTAACTTACTCACGACCTGAGAGCTGCGTGCACCAACACACTCACGACCTGAGAGCTGCGTGCGCCCTAACAATACGCCAGTAGATTTTGCATTTGAATGCCGGTGCTTTTTAGCTCAGTTTTGTATACTCAGCCTCTTCCCTATCAGGATAACTAATTACTATTGATCAGGAACACTAAACACACTTTTTGTGCCAACCGGTGGGTGTGAACACAAATGACGTATAATTTAAATCGCCGCATCAGTACGCAACGAGTGAACCCTCTTAGTTGCTGCTTTTTGATAGCAGCTTTTTGATATACAATTGACGCTTAATACTAATGCTTAATACTAATGTAATACTGCTGCGCTACTTGCTACTGCTGTACTACTGCTACTGCTGCACTACTGCTACTGCTGCACTACTGCTACTGCTGCACTACTGCTACTGCTGTACTACTGCTACTGCTGTTCTACTGCTACTGCTGCACTGCTAAGTAGTAACTGCTGCTTTGTTGCTACCGCACTTCACTGCTGCACTACTGCTACCGCACTTCACTGCTGCACTGCTGAGTCACTGCTGCACTGCTACGTAGTCACTGCTGCACTGCTGAGCTGATCACTGCAGCAGCTGCTGTGGTGCAGTTATCAGGCAGAGATAGCACAGCATCCTGTGGTGCTGGTGCTGCGTGTGGCCGGCAGTGTGGTCAGCACAGGTGCCTGCTGGAGGAGGGCGCCGTGCGCGACATGCCGTAAACCCATATTGTGTTCTATTGACAATGCTATTAAAATAACGAATAAGGAATTTAAAAGCAAAGAAAACACCAAGCAAATTCATCATATCGATATTGAAAATGTTTAGAAGTCCAGCTCCATCTGGACTCCGAAACGTTTTCAATATCGATATGGTCAATTTGCTTGGTGTTTTCTTTGCTTTTAAATTCCTTGTGAACTTGCGATATAGGCAGACTGATAATATAAGAAGTATAACGAAAGTCTGTATAGATATTAACTTCTGTTTGTTTCCCGAAATAAACTTTATGTGGTTGAACGTTTAGCTTGGTTTTTTACGTAGTGCATGGTGCTTCTGGTTAAATTTCGACGCTTGTGTATTGTGTTTGTAGTCAAAGATTCAATTGTTTTATCAGATCGGTGATTCCACAATATAAATACGCGTTCTGAACGCCTATATGACTAATGAACGTAGATATCGCGACAAGTGAACCATTTTTTGTGGCGGTTAATTAATGAATATTTTAAACTGAACTGCTCCCTTATCGTGGGTGTGGAGACGGAGAATAATACCTTCATACTCATTGATTGCGGTGCCAGCTGCAGAATTTGAAATTTGACACAAATTGAACCAACAAATATGATAGTTTCCTCAACGCTTGAAACCGCCAATTCGAAAGTTAAGAGTTGGATAATTAGCTCAATCTATGATTTGTACCAATTTTGTATCTAATTGAATCGAGTTTTTTGATATGGTGTAGGCAGAGGCAGCAAAGTAGAAGCGATTTGTCCACCTCAGTGTTTGCGCTCATTGCAAAGGCTTCAGAATTATGTCAGTGGTCCGCAATTTCCGGTTCGTTGATGCTCGATATTTCTCGTGACGAACGGGGACTTATGGACGCTGAACACTCACATTCATTGCCGAAACATCATCCGCCATTGACACTTTTTGACTTCGGCGATTAAGTCTTCATATATTGAGTTGAAATAAGTTAAAGGAAGACGAGTTTGTCGAAAAGTTATTAAGAGTTTTCAAGGTCGTGCTATGCAATATCTGCTATCGATCAACTGACTTGAATGGTCACCAGCGACGTTCAGTTAAAAGCGTGTAGCACGTTGAGAAGATGTTATTCGTGATGAAATTGATTGTGATATGAAGTTTTTCCCTCCCCAATATTGTTCATCCTTCAGAATAATATAAAAAAATGACTTTACAATTTAATTCGTATTTTGAACTGCGTTCTGATGTTTCAAATTGAATTTTTTCGTTTGTTGTAAAAGTGAATAGGTAGCGTTATTGGACAATGTCTTCCTGTCATATTTAGACTGACAAGCTCAGCAAATTTAACCCCGTAACCATGGAAGCTGTGGACGTTCAAGTGCGCAGGAAAGCTAATCCCAGGATTAATGAAGTGGCGATTACTTCCCCTGCCGAACCCGGTAAGAACTATCCGGTGCCCGGGGTGGGTGAGAACGTTCGTATCTCATGCAATGTTGCCGTGACGTACAGTTTTGCTGAGCCTAAACGCATGTCTTCTTTTGGATCCGTGAAGACCTCCACCTCACGGGCGTGCACTCTGCCCAACGCTGCGCTGCTGCGACCCCAGCATTCCATGGACGACCTCCTATGTTCCGTGGATGGTTGTGACTCAGCATCATCGTTGTCAGGGTCCTTGTCCCTGGGAAGGAATACATCCTTGGTGCAGCCAACGCGTCGCAGAGACAAGCTTTGGAACGCCGTGCACCATCGCAGTCACCGCAGTGAGACAGCCGATCCTAAATCCAGCTTTCTCTGTCACGACTGCAAGGACTGTCCACACGATGGCAGTGAAGTACATTTGCATAAAGTCAATGATGGCTCGGAAGTATTGAAAAAGCTGTCACCTCCTAGCAATAGTTTATCTCTAAGACACCAGATGCTCAAAGAGCTAGCTTCTAAAGCGGCTCGTTTTCGCGAGCGACGAGCTCTGAAGGCGTCTTTTTCTGTGAGCGATCCTTCCCCATCCGCTGCACGGAAGCTGCATAACTCAGATTCCCGCATGTCGGTCGACTACTTCTCTGCCAATTATGAACAACAAATACCACTGCGTTCAGCCTCTGAAAACCACCCAGGACTTGAACCTGACGCACACTTGCGTTCGTCTGGCGTGCCTCAAGTTTATCCAAGTCAAGAGAATCTGCCTCCACAAGAGCTACGAGAGGATGAAGTCTCTACCGACTTCTCCCCTCCTTCGTGCATCGCCACTTCGCCTATTAAACTTCCGGAAATATTTCGGGGTTCCTCTTCTTACCGTGAATCTCCCGAGCCGTTGTATGCTAACTGGTCGCCTCAGTACTTCAAGTTCGGTCCCGGGGTGCGTTCTTCGTCGTTTTCAGTGATCGATGAAGCTTCACAAGTGATGGAAGAGAAATCTATCGCTTCGAGTACCGAGCACGTGGATGTAGATAATGTATCATTTCAGTTCCCTCCTCCTAACTTGCATAGAAAGAAACACAGTTCTGAGACGTCGTACTCGCCATCTGGCGACATCACGAGTTCACCGGCGTTTGGAAGCAGTGCGTGTCTGTTACATAGCCTGGCGTCTGATGTTGTTGGGACTCCGCGGTCTGAAGCTCTCATGCATGCGTCGACTTGCTGCTCTGCTGTCGTTTTGAGCAATAAATTCTCGGTAGCGAGCGACGCGACGAACGCGTCTTGCAGCAACGCAAGTCCGCGGGCCCAATATTCTAGTGCGTCAACCCACCAGATTGGATTTCCAGCTTCCCCGCCCTCTCGTGACCACAATACTGCCGACAGTGCTGCGACAGAGGTATCTTTAGGTTCGATTTTAAGGTTACTCAAGTCTTTTTTCTTTATGTATTGTGTTGCGCAAGCTGCGAACCTGACTTGAAAAAGTTTTGGTCGCAATTTCGCTCCTGCAGCCCAACTTTGTAAGCCTCGAGTCCTCGCAAAAAGGTAGGTTACCCACCAACTCAGACGGCTCTATCTCCGCTGCCTGCTGCAACTCGCTCATCCCGACACATCCTTATCTTATAGTCTTCTCACTCTGATTCTTGTAACATAAAAGTAACATTGGTTAGTACTAATTGTCCAGCATTTTCTCTTCACTAAGTTAACCATTTTCATGACAATTTATCATTATGCTTATTTTAATGCTGGCATTATTGAGTCATATTCCTAGGAATTTTCGTTACCTAACCATAATGTTCATTATTTAATGAATAAGTTGATTAAAATGATAAGATCAGGCTGACTGAAATGGCCTGTTCACAATGGCCTAGCCCCTTATCAGTTAAATTGTAACTGATAAACTATGTAAGACTGTTGAATTATTTAGGACTGCTAAACTATGTAGGACTTTTAAACTATGTAGGACTGATAAACTATGTAGGACTTTTAAATTATGTAGGACTGCTCTCTTAAAACTTAACTTGAATGGAGCTATGTTGTCAAGCATGGCTTCTTAACGAGCTTGCTTTGATGCCATCGTATATAATGGCTTCTCGTAACGCTGATGGCAGTTAATCATAACTCATAATATGTGCCGGCTTAAGTGCATGTGGTCTAACTTGGCTTGTTTGTGGCTGCAGTGGCAGGCGTATAGCACTACAGACGGCAGAATTTACTACAACAATGAAAACCATGGATCCACCTGGACTCTTCCTGACACTTCCTCGCACCATCAAGACCGGGTGAGTTCACAACCATTAAAAACTATTAGATAATAGTTGTGCCGGTGTGGTTGTCGTGCACAGAGTGTTTTTTTATGTTTTTTTCGTGCCTTGGTTCTCATTTTATGTCGACCTCGAGTGAAGGGTCGACAAATACTCTCATAACCGAGGCCGGTTGACGATGTTGCCTCGAGTACTATTTCCAGTACCTCGAAATCAGTACCTGGCTTCTCCAGGGTGTTGTGTAATGCAATGAAATTGTTCTAGCGGGTCAGCGAGCCAGTGATGGTCGTAGAACTCCCAGTCGCATTGAGTGCCCGGAAAAACTGACCTGTGAACGATGAATATCGATCGTTCACTAATATTCATTATTCTATGCTATCATTTGTTCTCATATGCCTTTTTGTTCATTCTGGCGAAATTATTTTATTACGTCTGGCGAAGCTGTGCTTTTAACATTTAAGTCAGACCTGTAGCAGTGGGAACCACGTAGGACGAGGTCAGGTCTGAGCGGCTGTGGGTCGAGGTAGTGAGTCGTGTCCCGCCAGCCCTACAGTGAGGTTCTACACTGAACTCACCTCGCTCCGTTGCTCCACTAGCGATCTTGTGCCCTAGCGCTAGTTACTGTGGCTGTGCTCTATATGCTCCATCAAGCAGTGTAATGTCAGTCGTGCTTGTTCTACTATTTTATTCAACCTGTTGCTTTTAAGTTTTCTTTACTGGAATAAACGGCAAGTTTTACTCGTGTAACCGAAGTTTTAATGAATGAACATCCCAGTGCAATAAAGTGAACTTTTACAAGATAGTTGCCGGCGTTTGGCCGTGGAGTATGTTTTTTTCGTGCCTTGGTTCTCATTTTATGTCGACCTCGAGTGAAGGGTCGACAAATACTCACATAACCGAGGCCGGTTGACGATGTTGCCTCGAGTACTATTTCGAGTACCTCGAAATGAGTACCTGGCTTGTCCAGGGTGTTGTGTAATGCAATGAAATTGTTCTGGCGGGTCAGCGAGCCAGTGATGGTCGTAGAACTACCAGTCGCACCAAGTGCCCGGAAAAACTGACCTATCTCCCCCCCCCTCCCTAGTCGCGACTACCAGGATAGGCAATTACAACTACAACAACATGTTGCATCATTGCCCAACTTGGTTGATGGAGTCATCGTCGTCATCGCCTTTCAATGACGTATCTTAGTCTTCTCCAACGGGCCTCGGCCACCGCGGCAATTGCTTTTCATGAAGATGATGATCAGTTTTTGTATGTTATGGATACATGAAGCAATGTTTTGTATGATGTTGTTATTATGGAGAGTGAGCAGCAGGCTGTCTTGTGCTGCAGGTCCCCGCTGGGGACGAGGCTCGCCTGCAGGACAACCAAGAGGCGCCACCCGAGTCCCCCATCACGCCAGGGTGTCCCGTAAGACATTCCTGCTCCGTAGAGAAAATAACATAACTAAATGGGAGACCGCTTTAATTCGTTAATTTTTTCATTTGCGGTGAATGTTGAAAGTTGCAAATGGCGGAGAAAATAATAAACCGAATTTCAGACTGATGAATTATTTTTTTAACTCATGTTCATCGCATGTAGAAGTCGTTTCAAATATTAGTGAACAACTTGAGAAAGTTATTTTTATGTCGAAAAGTTTGTCGATTTTACTCCGTTTGCGTTAAATAAGAATTCTCCAGCCTAGAAAGTGTCTTAACTAAATTTCTAACCTCGTGTAGTAAATGATAATTGTGTTGCATGCTCAGGGTGACTCAGGCGTACTTCACCTGAAGGAGGGCTGGCTGCAGCGTACGCTCTACTCCCGCGAGCACAAGAAGGTGCGCAAGAACTGGACCTCCTCCTACGTCATCCTCGCCCTCAGGAGTCCCGAGGACGGCATGTTTCTGCCCTCGACCCAGGCGGGCGGCGACTCCCCTCCTCTGGCTCGATATTTCTTCATTTTCGCCAAAAACCCTGATGGCAAAAAGGTACGTTGCCTTTTTTATTCATTTTTGTTTCTTTGTTATGTTTTTGAGTCGCCTTTTTAGCACATTTACTCATTTATGGAAAAAGGCGCTATTGTGCTCGCCATGTCAGTCTGTCTGTCTGTTCGTGACTTCACGTTTTCGTCGACGAGAAAATGCGCTCTCTGTCACTCACTGCAGTGAGTACTGAGTTATATATTTTTATTTATTATTTATTTTTGTTATATTTCCGAGATATTTTTCTTCTGATCGTTTCATGTTGAATAAAAAATTTTTAAAATCATCGTCGTGGAAATCAATATAAATAGAAGAGCCTCAATCATTAACATCTTATACAAGTGTCTTGTGCGCGACAATTAGTTCGTTTGTTATTAGCATCTCTATTCTTCAATATTTTGCCTGTTAAATTATATTGCAATGCCATATGCCGCATTGCCCAGCATTCAGCTATATGCTGCTTTTAGTGCTCAAAGATCATTCCGGAGTTTTTCAAATTTAATCCTATATTTGTTTATTCTCCCGCAAATTATACACCAACTATTGTCTAGTGATATGTTACCAACTACACTAGAACCCAACAATGTAGCTATTATTAATACTAGTATGTAATACCAGTAATTGTTCAACTAGTATCTAGGCTACTAATGCTGTAAACTTGTGTGCTGTACAGGCAAGCTTGAGGGAGCACTTCGAGCTCCTAGAACCCGTAAAGATCGCCCTCGGTGACGACAAGAACAAGAGCAGCAAGATCAACGTCCTCTCGCTCACCAACGCTGCTGGCACTGAACTGCTCCTCCGCAGTGATGAACTCAGCGTCATACAAGACTGGCATGCTCCCCGCAAGTCACGGCGCAGCGACAACAAGGTGGCAGCAGAAGGAGAGTTCGATGGTCTATCCAGCGAACAGCGCACCATCCGCACCAAGCTCCTCGACTTCATCAAGCGACGTCCGCCTGCCGAAGTTCTTACCAAGAAAGGCATCATCCGCGTGAGTTGTGTTGCGTACTTGCTTTGTTTCTTGGTGCAACTTCATTTTTTCCTAGCAACACTACATTTCACATCCGATGCAACACCACATTTCACTATTTTTTGTTTAAGTTTGTAGCTTTTTCTCGGTATTCTCTCTGTGATAATTCTCGATTGTAAGTCAACAAGCATGTTTCAACAAGTGGGCGATTTTTCCTCACAGGATTCAGTGTTTGGCAACAGTATTGCCGAATTATGTCGGCAAGAGAAGACCAAAGTTCCATTGTTCGTCTTGCTCTGCATAAAAGCCATCGAGAACAAAGAGTGCAACCTCAAGACTGATGGACTCTACAGAATTTCTGGCAATGCAGCACGAATACAGAGAATCAGATACGAGGTGAGCTGAATGCCAGTTTGTGCTTTAATTGCAACAAGGCTCCTTATATTTTATTAATGTAACAAATATGCTGTTGAACACAATGTTACATTTGTACAAATGTGCTGTTGCACACAAATGTTTTACATTAGTTGTTACATTTGTTAAGCACAAATGTGTGTAACAAATATAATCAATCGTACAATTAACATCCAAATTCTAAATGCTAACCCGCCCGTATGTTTTCAGGTTGCCAAAAACAACTACGAAGTTCTTAATGAAGAGAAAGACGTCTACAATTTGTCTGGGGCGTTGAAGCTTTTCTTCAGAGAGCTGCGGGAACCTCTGGTGCCGTTCAACGCTTACGACGCATTCATCAACTGGAGTAATAGTAAGCCATCTTTACTCCATCATCATCCTTAATTTACCAAATGATGTAAATCCATCATTTACATCAGCATCCATAATTACTCCATCATCAACTGGAGTAATAGTAAGCCATCTCATCTGGCTTAGCTCTATTCACATCAAGTTTTTCTGCTGAGCTCGGTTAGGAAAATATACTTTATTTATAATCGCTACCTTACATTAATAGCTTGAAGTTTTTCTGCTGAGCTCTGCAAGGAAAATATGCTTTATTTATAATCGCTTCATTACATTAATACCATGGAGCTCTGACAGCTCTAACAATGCAGGGTGCAGTTAATGACGGCAATTAGTAGAAAAGTTTAACCCCCGCAGCTAACAATTGCTTGGACCTTACTAGTAGTTAGTACTAACGGGCTTCCTGTCTACCTCTTACTAATACTAACGGGCTTATAGCGTACCTCTTACTAATACTAACGGGCTTATAGCGTACCTCTTACTAATACTAACGGGCTTCCTGTCTACCTCTTACTAATACTAACGGGCTTCCTGTCTACCTCTTACTAATACTAACGGGCTTCCTGTCTACCTCTTACTAATACTAACGGGCTTTCTGTCTACCTCTTACTGATACTAACTGGCTTCCTGTGGGATTATAAAGTGATTATTAATGAATTGCTTGCACATTTTCCCCTGCTTGCCTCATCATTGGAGCAGAACTTGCAAGGTAAGTGCCAAAGTTTCCACCTCTTGTTTGATTAGTTCTGTACATGGCTCTGACTTGCTCCTGTGCATAACTCTTTCTGACGTAGTTCTTTATTCTTTATTCACACAGGAGCATACAAAAAAAATTCATAACAAGAAAATGTCAAAAAATTGGAGAAAAAAAATACAAAATGCTTCCATGCGAATGCCCATATAAGCTAAAAAGCTTCACAGGCGAGTTACAGATTTATTAGGATGCTATTACCTAGAATTAGCCCAGGTCTCGGATGGTTTATGGTGAGATTTTGTTGAAGAAATTGTCGTGTATGGTATTTTTAAAGCATTGTAATATCGTGAATGTGTTGCAGCGCTACAGCGGGGCGGCCGACATCTTGATGAACTGCAAGCGGCCACCAAGAAGATGCCTGTAGAGAATTTGGAGACCTTAAAGCTCCTTCTGCGTCATCTGAAGAGGTGAGGACATCAAGTTCTCTGTTCCTTGCACTCTATTGAACTTGAATTGTTCGTGATATATATTCAGATATATTCTTCAAATTGTTTATCTAAAAGTTCCTGTTCCTTGCACTTCGTATTAAACTTGAACTGTTCGTGTAATTATTCAGATATATTCTTCGTGTTGTTTATTTAATGTTCCATTTGATATTCTAGTTGTGAAAGATGTACGTTTTATTTAAAATTATTGAATTCTTTCACCCCATATAATATATCTGGTGAGAAGTTTTTGTTAGTGTTAGTATGAATTACGAAGAATTAGTCTTCTGGTATGGCTGCCTGGTGCACCAAATACATCGTGCTTAGAATAACATTGATGATCGTGCTGTTTTTATGATGGATGCAGCAGCAGTCATTCCAACAAAAATTCGTTCAGATATTGAATCCGTCGATCGCGAGCAAAAATGCAGTGAAAATCAAACGGGTTCTTTTCCACTTTATGTCTTCTTATATTTGAATTGATATTAACGATTTGTTTTTTTTTCAGACGAGCAAAAACAAAATAGTAGAACTAAATAGGTTATTCTCAGGTGCATTATATCTTGAAATTTCGGTCCAAAATTCAAGATATGTCTTTTTTTTTCAGAGTGTGCGAGCACAGCGCGCACAACCGCATGAGTCCTAAGAACCTGGCGATTGTGTTCGGCCCCTGCCTGATGTGGCCGCCAGAGAGCACGGCAGGGCGCGACCTCATGTTGGAGGCCATGGTCCACAACGTCGTCGTCGAGGGACTCCTCATGCACTTCGAATGAACTTCTTCAGCCTTCATTAATTTCTGCTTAATTTTTAATAGATACCTAAATTCAAACCAAGCTGTCACGCTTACATTTCGTCCGCTATTAATCGCCAATGAACCATGTAGCCTTTGTCGGATAGAAGAGTTGTTATGTGAGAATATTCTTCTGTGGAATTTTTTATTCGTTCAAGTGCTAGTATTCCTGCTATCAAAACGTCATCCTACAAACCTTACTTAGTCAAGGGTGTAGGGAATTTAAGTTGTAAAGTCAAGTAAATGTTGCCTATATGTGCGACAATATTGTTTCTTCCCTAATCGTATTGCTCATGAGATGCTAATGTTGCAATGGTCGTTTGATGGGACTTTGTTGGTGTAGATAAACTAAAATAATATCTATGATAGTCTGCCTTTTATTTGCTTGTCATTGCTAAGAAACGACTCGTCAGAGTCTCTATGTTCCTCGTTGTTTCGATGACGTCATTCCGTTGACTGAATTGCAATGCTCTGCTAATCAGTCTGTCTAATTCAGCCAATTATAATGTACCAATTTTGATTCAAATAATGTATAGAGTATTCAACTATTATCCTGCTTGATAATGATAATATATCACTGCTTCGAAATAATTACTTCCATATAATGAAATAGTTATAAATATGAAATTTCACTACGAAATTGCACATAGACATTATTTATATGAACTACTTATCTAAAATTAAAAGGAGAGATGCATGGGCGTCACCATCGAACACAATGTTCTTAATTTAAGTCTTTGATTGTTGGTAAACGTTGTCACGATGTCGAGTGTTCATTCCCTTGAAGGGATTTAATTGTATTGCTTGAGCTCCAGCTTTGTTGGCTATATTTTCTGTGCTGCTTCCTTCCTTCTCAATGATTTACCATTGCAATCGCATTGTTATTTGTTGCAATCGCTTTTATCTTGGCACAGTGTCAGTGTGGTGCTGTGAGTGCCAGTGTGGTGCTGTGAGTGCCAGTGTGGTGCTGTGAGTGACAGTGTGGTGCTGTGAGTGCCAGTGTCGTGCTGTGAGTGCCAGTGTCGTGCTGTGAGTGCCAGTGTCATGCTGTGAGTGCCAGTGTCATGCTGTGAGTGCCAGTGTCATGCTGTGAGTGACAGTGTCGTGCTGTGAGTGCCAGTGTCATGCTGTGAGTGACAGTGTCGTGCTGTGAGTGACAGTGTCATGCTGTGAGTGACAGTGTGGTGCTGTGAGTGCCAGTGTCTTGCTGTGAGTGCCAGTGTTGTGCTGTGAGTGCCAGTGTCGTGCTGTGAGTGACAGTGTCGTGCTGTGAGTGACAGTGTCGTGCTGTAAACAACAAGTTTGATATGCTTTGCGGCAGCAATGACAGTGGCCGTACTGTCACTATACTTGCTATGCACCTTCATTATCATGCTGCCTGGCTAGTGGACTTCTCTCTCCCAGTGTTGGCTGTGCCGACTTCCACTCTTTTACTCCTGGCTTAGTTTATTGCCTTGTTATGAATCTATTTATTTTGTGAATCTAACATGGTTCCTGGCTTAGTTTATTGCCTTGTTATGAATCTATTCATTTTGTGAATCTAACATGGCGAGTGTTTTCTAATTCTATATTAAAAATTTCTTGACGTGCGGGGATATTAATTGCGTCACTGATCACACCCAGCCAATAGCGTTCCTTGAAATATTCTACTTAATGCTGAAAATGGGAAATTACACATCGCTTAGTCGCTATGCAGAAATTCGATTCAATCTCTGGTAATGATCATTCTGTTGTGTTCAAAAATTATTTCGCTACCAGCAAAGCAGCTTATGGCTTTGTCTGGTTGTAATTTTCTGTGTTCATTTTGCTAAGATTTATTCATTAAAGCGTGTCAGTTTATTATGTCATTCATGTGGCGCTTTCATGTGGCTTCATCCAGAGACATAGCATGTCTGGATGAACCACAAGATCGCTTGAAAGGCTTTCATGTACTTTGTTTTTGAGCCCTAATCATAAGCAGAGTTCAGGTATAACAAATGTTATCCTCTCTGCCTGCGTTAGTTGATGCACCTGGGTGTTTGCTTGTTCTTCTGACTAAGTAAAATTCTGTTATTTGTAACCGAAGTAACATGTATTTCGGCGCCTCATATTCGTGTGCTGCGTGAAGTCCATTTTGTAAGTATTGCCAAGTTATCCATATTGCCAACTTGTTACATCTACCTTCGTATGTACCCATATTTTATGAATACTTTATTGAGTCGTACGAGTACTATAACTTATTATTTTTGAGGAGCTTAGACACTGTACAGAATATCGTGCGAACAGAATGTATAAAACATTGTATCCTTATTGTTCTGCTAGTAAATCTGTTTAATATGATAAGAAGGTGGGCACGCCTGTGTTATTAGTTAAGAGAAATGCTTAATCTTCAGAATTGAACATCTGTTTTGAACTTTGCTCGGTACAATTATCCTAACCGCCTTCTTGGTATTGGGATTATTGACTTTTATAATTTATTTTGCTTGGCTCATTTCAGATATTTACTGGAACAATTCGACGCTAACAAGTCGATTGTTCATTTTCATATATGGTGACATTTTTCATTATGGGCTCATAGCCTGAATGGACTATCTATTAATTTATGTACAGCTAATATTCGGGTGAAGTTTGATTAACTTTATAAACTTCAGCTGCAGGATAAACCTAACTTTCTTTTATGTCAGTTATTCCTGTGATTTAGACTGCACGAAGTTCTGCAGTGCAGGCTTCTGGTCCTTTGATTTCGTTACCATCTTGTTAGGGATGTATGTTTGACTGCAATACTTACCTCTTTTGTATCGTTTGCTTCTTGCTTCTTCACGTTATATTTCTGTCTTTTATATCTAAGCTTATTCACTTTTTTCTATTGCTCTGAGGAAGAGTAATTCAGCGTCAACCATTACGAGTTCAGCCTCTGCGAACTCGCTGAGGTTAAGATGTTCACCACATTCCATGTAGGGAGAATTCCTGCTAGGTAAAACTGTTCTCCCTCTCCGAACATTGACTTAGCGTGAGTACGATAAATGAAATGCTGCTCAGCTCACTCAAATAATGCTTCCTTTTTTCTAGTTTTTTTATACATCTCTGACTAGAAAAAAAATTGGAAATAGAAGTGTGACGGTTACAAAGCGTCTCCAATTCTAGAATATGGGAAAGGAATAGACGGCTTGGGCGTTTGAAAGTTCAGACGAGAAGCTACAAGTCGGCCGCGTGTCAATTCCCTAGCTATTTAAGCTGCCTAGTACAGGATTTTGCTATTCTTCTTTCAGAGACTTTATTTTACTATCCGTACTTTTCATGATTAAACATACTTGTGCATTGTTATTGCTTTCCCTTAATTTATATCATAACTTGGAACATTGAATGTGCTCCTGAGAATATCTATTGAGCTGACAGTAAATAGCGGACAGAGGGACTCCGACTTGTCTATCGAGACGACCGTGGTCCGTTTCAGATCTATAATTTTTGCAAATGTATATTATGCAAACTTTACTTACACGGGTGTAGATGTTAGGCGCTTAGAGTATGATATTTCCCTAATGCAAGTGATATTTAACTATTGCTGACAATTAAAACAGTAAGCTTGAGAGCAAGCTACCAAATAACTGACTTTTTCATTGAAAAACTTCTACATTCAGGTATGCCAGATATCATGTGACGACCAAGTCGTTTTCCAAGGACAAAATTCCGATAATGGAAATTCTGAAATTATCTGGCTCGAAATTTTCAATATCGTGTTATTTTTCTCGTATCTTAATGGGCACCTGAAAATGGGATCCCTTTAAATCAAGAGAGAGTTGGGTTTTTTTTTTCTTCTCTGAGACCTTTAATACCCGCAATATATACCATCTTTTAACGTGGCAATAATCGGCTAGAATTAAAGATATTCAGAATTTGATTTTAATATATATTTCGAACATTCAAAAGCCTTATTCACATTTCTCCGCTGTCGTCCTCTGCAACTCCTGAGAACTCACATGCACTCCGTGGCTCTGCAAGATCTTGCCAAACACGATCTGGGTGAAACAAGTATAGAGTACGGCTTTATTCAACAGGTATTTATGTCCATTATGGGACAAACGTGCTACTCTCTGGCCTAATGTTTCAGTACATTCGCTGACAGTTGATCTGCCTAGACTCCTCCAATGCTTGGAAATCGCGCTAGCATTGCTGTATTGACGCAGAAAAAGCTTATTTGCAAAATTTTTGAAGGCTTGAAATGTCTGAATGATTTTTGCCTTGACTCTTTCATATGACTTTCCTGACAAACTATAGTTCCGTTTCTGAGCAATTGAATATTATCGAATTATAACCGATCGTCCGCCCTGTCATCAAGTTCGCAAAACCTACAATTTTCCTCAAGATCAGAATCCAATTACGCTTCGCTCGTGAACCAGCCTTCCGTTGAAAAAAATATAACTCAGTACTCACTGCAGTGAAAGACAGAGAGCGCATTTTCTGCTCCAAGTATGAACGCGTTCAAGAACAGACTAGATAAAGCTATGGAAAAATATATGTTCAGATTTGAAATGCCTAGCACAATATCGAGCCCAGCGAAAGTCTAGTAGCTACTTGAAACTCTCATCAGTCATGAAAAGATTCGATCAAATGAAACGATATTAGATCTTCTGTGAACAAGGCACGAAAAGGAAAAGAATCGGCGACAGACCACATCAAGCCTACACTTCAGCGCCCAGATCAATATGTTATGTTATGGTAATAGTGCATTTTTTACTTTAATGAGAAAAATGCACTAAAAAGCCACCTTGCGATTGGGAACAACGTCATACTTTTTAAAAAATCTGTTTGATAGGTCTGCCTCCCCAAATTTATTCTCATTAAAAGTATTAATTTTATGGCTGTTTAATGTATTACCTGCGGAATGAGTAAAAATGGCAAATTATCTCGCGACCTTAACATCACCGGACGGCTGCTTTAACTCTATGAGCGATTTTAGTTTAAAATCTGTTAATTTGAGCGACATATTGGGCTCTGTAAATCTTGCCATTTTGGGGAATAATTCGTCGTGTAAAACCGAAACACAGACGAATTTCTCTTGCCTTAAACGTCGCCGAATATTTTTTTTTATAATTTATTCCGTAGCTCGCGAGATATTTTAAAAACACTGGAGAACAACCGAAGAGGAGAATTGAGCTGTGAATTTTAACGCTCAAGTCATGAAATTCATTGTTGAGACCGACGCGGACAATATTTATGTATTGTGAATGATTATTTAATTCGCGCGAACTCGTTTAATGCTTGCTTAATTTTTTAAACTTATTATGCATGAAAAAAAAACATTTGTAAACTCCGATATAGACGGACCTTTTAACGCCTCGAGCTTGAAGCGGGCAACGGAAATATTCGAATATCCTCGCTAAATCTCATGTTCTATACTGGGCATGCAATTCTAGTATCTTTAGGGTAGTTGCCCGACGTTAATTGAGAAGATCGTCTTCTCTCAATTATGGGACCAATTACTTACAATATTTGAGTCACTTACAAATCCACTCCTCCGCTGCGAATGCGAACGCCAATTCAATGTTCCTTCGGAAAGAAGCAAGTCTTGAATCGAGCCTAAACGTTTATAGGAGGGAGTCTAAGTTAAGTTTACTTGCAACAAATTTAATAATGTCTATAGTAAAACTTCATAGACAGTGAAAATGAGTAAGTTTAAGTTATAATTTTATTTGAGCACCCCACAATAATTGTACGAGTATAAAAATATTTTCAGCTTGGAATTTATTTACATTTAAATGTGATTTAACTACTTCCAATGTGGAATTATGCTACTTAAAATAAATTTGTGCCATTTAAGAGGCATCATGTGGCTTTAATAATGGTCAAAATGCCCGTTCAATGGCACTTCAAGCCTCCCGTTGTGAATATTAATGAAAACCGATCAGTGCCTAAATTAAATGTAATGAATTTTAAACATCATATGAAATTCTAAACTTCTACTAAATTTCAAACTTCATACCTGAATTCAACCTTATTATTGAGTTTCAAAAATCTATGATTTGTCAGCATGTTGACTGAAGGTTGAGATCAACAAATTTGGAACACTCAGTAAGTAGCAAGCTGGAGCCTCATTTAGCAGTAAAAAATCTTTGTCTTTATCGACAAGGTGTCCGGTTGGTTGTACTGTAATAGCAAAAATAGGAGCAGTGCGTCCCAGCTTGCTGCAAATTAGCTGGAATTGGCCACCAGCAAGACATGGCGTAATATTAATCGTTGACGCCTCTACATTTCATGTATTCATTTTTGAATTAAGATCGTTGCACAGTAAATAGATTTCTTTTATTATCGCTATCAGATTAAAGCCATATCATGATAATAAAAATTAAGATCGCTTTACTCAATACTCAAGGGATTGATTATCTTATGGGAATTTGAAACAAGAACCCACAATAGGGGCCATGGCTTGAAACTGAAAAAACTGCGTTGCAACTCATCCATGCGACTACATTTCTTCTCGCTTCTAGTCACCGACATGTGGAACAGCCTCCCCGATTACATTGTGGACGCTCCGAGTACAAATGCGTTCAAGTACAGACTAGACAAATCTATGGAAAAATATATGTTTAGACTTGAAATGCCTAGTACCATATGAAACCCGGTGGAAGTCTAGTGACTATTTAAAACTATCCGCAGTTTGGAAAAGATCCGGTCGAGGACCTGTTTTTAGATCTCCTGTGGACAAGTCACGAAAAATACAAGAATCAGCGACAGGCCACATCAGTCCAATTCTTCAGCGCGGACATCACTATGCTATGCTATTAGTTGTTGGATCTTTCACTGCACCGCCGCTGAGCATGAGGCTGGAAGCACTCATTGCAGAGCTCGCCTGCATGGCGGTGCTTGTAAAAATATCTTTGGCGTGGCGCCTGGCTGCCCTCATCTTGAACTTCTTCAAACTTCTTATCACTAAGCTCTCTTTACCAGAGTCAATGAAAGGAATGTTATCCAAACTTTGAGACTTGCGGTGTCGTACAAAAGCGGTCGTGTCATTATTTTTCTTCTTGCGAATAAAGTCAGGCGATTTCCCCTCCATGTGCGGCACGGAAGTCTGTCGCTCCGCGTTCAGCGATGTACTCGATCTCGAGTGCTTGAGTGAGGCGAATTCTGACGAAGGTTCTTTCTTCCATCTCGGCGGTAGCTTAGGCGACGCAGAGTTTGGCGGGGCAGGGGGCGGCAAGCCATCACAAATCTCGCTGTAAAACTTTGCCCCGTTGGCGTCGTTGCCAGTATCTGCAAAAAAATGATTTTGATGCAACCAGCTATTTTGGCCAAAAATATGTATATTTTAACGGGTGCAACTCAGCATGAGTGGATTGGTTCTTACAATGTTTTAAAACTGCCAATAACTTGCACCAGAAAAGGTGTATTGCAACGATCTTAAAAAATGATTGCGAAAGCTGCAAATTATCATGGCAGGGGCCAAATTTTGTTCAAATCTATAGATAGGATGTTTCAGTCACATGGAATGTATTCGAATTTTATGCAAACCTGGGGATTTAGATAAAAGATTATTTCTAGAAGCTGCTTTGGCAAGACGACGTAGGCCCATCGGCGGTGTTTCTCTCAGCTTTCTATTGATCACTTTAAGATTCTCCATGGCTTTGCCGGCCGGACTCAGAATCTGGTGAGGAAATGACAAATTTAAACGAAAAACTAACTACATTGCAATACTTTAATCAAATGCTATAATGGACTAGCGAAAGACTCCACTTATATTACCAGTAAGAAACTTTTAAGTTTAACCCTTTACCGCCTAACATGAGTAACGTACCGGAGCAATATTGTCGCGCGCCTACTTCCCAAAAAGGATACGTTCAGTGAGCGCAAAATGACTTGCACTGATGGTTGCCGCCACGTACGACAACTTTAAAATGTTCTCTGTTGCGTACAAACATCCTCAGGTTGCTACACTCAATAGTTTACGTATAATTTTAGTTGAAAGTTATATTCCCGGAGAGTGACATACGTCGGAGAAGGTTTAAATATTGGTGATTCAGAAGAGCTTACCTTAAGTGTGCACTCCATGCGCACCCAGACGTTGCGGTCCGTGTTGAGCGCCATGTTCCAGGCCACATTTCCAGTGCACAGCTGCGGCTTCTGCAGCAGATGTTCCAGGCGGACCTTCAGTCGGCCCTTCACGACGCTCCCTTGGCCGCTCCGCAGCTGTTAAATAATCTTTTTTTTTTTTTGTCTTAAAACGGGGCAGGTAAATCATGCACTAAAGTCTGCTCAAATTTTCATATCTGTGCTTTAGACATTTATTTATTAAAATTTATTCTAAATCAATTTCCGATGTAGCTAAAACGACAAAAATCATCGAAGCCCCTGCTGAAGCCAAGTTTCTGTTTTTCCAATGATGGGGATTTGTTACATTTTTGGATGGCTTATATGGTTTGGACGAAACTATTGAATTGCACAATATAATTGCTAATAAGTCCAAAACTTGTTCAGCTTTGATTAGTGGTTGAACCACCAACTTTCAACACTATTCTGAAATTTATTCGACTCAACAAACAAAACGATGGACTTTTAAGGATTTCTAAAGATGTGCGAATGTCTAATAATTTTTTGCGATAACTTTCATTAAAATGTTGGCCTATTAATACTCTAAAAATTAGATCGCGATTATGCCAACGATAGTTACGCTCTAGATTGAAACTTGGATTTACCTTAAGAGAAAGAACGTCGTGAGCGGATTTGAGATTAAAAATGAAGGATTGCTTCCACGCCCATACGCCGCTGGAAGTTTCTGTAGCTATCCATGAATGCTGCTCGTCTCCTCCTGCCCTCACCGCCATGCGCCAGTGACTGCTGCTCTCCTGCAGCGCAAAAGATAACTCTAGCTGAAGACTAAAGATATGATAATGCGCTTTACTTTTAACGAGGAACTAACGACAGACGAAATACAAAATATTTTATGGTGAAATAAATTCCTCGTGGACCACAATGAGGGTGGCCTATAGGGTACGCACACAGTGAAAGCAGGTTGCCAGCGTGCTGGTTACCTGCTCAGGCTGGCGCCTGAAACAATAGAATACAGAAGCCTATTCGTACAGGTTTTCACTGTGAACACTTATATTATTATCCTATGTTCATTCTTGTGGCAGGTCGGAGCAGGTTGCCCGCGCGGACAAACTTGCTTTCACTGTGTGCGTACCCTAAGATTACTCACGGGAAGATGCCACGCCGAGTCCAGCCAAACGAGTGCCAGGCAACTGAAGAGGGCGAAGCCGTTGGGGTTGCCTGCTAAGGGGTTGACGTGGCCGACGTCGATGGGTACCGTACTGAAGCCTTCCCTTGTCTCTTTGCGGCACAACAAACTGCTCTGCAGCGCCGCTATTTCCGCCAGTTGCTGCTCAAATATTCACGCATGGATCCGTGATAGAGATATTGGTTAATTTTCGTTAGAAGTTGGGGCACATATTGATCTGAATATTATGTTAAAAAACGAAAAAAAATAGTTCAGTCAAAATTATTTCGCAGCTCGCAAGCCGCGATGCTCGGCCCAATGGTGCGTCAAGGCTTGCTAAAAATTATTGAAATGAAACTAGAACCTAAAATTTAATCACTTGTTTTTGTTAATTACATATTTTCGGATATTATTTCAAATTTTCATTGCTGAAAATTCTACGTCAATCGATACTCACGATAGGCAGCTGGTTAGGGTCATCGGTGAGGGGCAGCCACAAGGCCTGTACTCGCAATTTTCCATTTTCTGTACCTCCAGATTCCAGCCACTGGATAACAAAGTTATTGTTCTTAGCATCAGTTGCTTTAATTTCCCTCTAAATCCAAGAAGAATTAAAAATAATTTTTGGGGGAGGTTTTACGAGCAATGAAATCATACATATTTATTGATCTGTAATTTCGCCGTTACAATAGTGTGAGGACTTCCGTCACGAAAGCTAACTGAGATTATATTAACGGAAACGAAACCTCTAAGATGTAGACTGATTTTGGGCAATGCTAAAAACATGCAATAAATTAGTACTATCTATGATCTATTCTACCCACCTTGTCAATTAGTTTCTTTTCCTGGATTTCTCGAGTTCCCAGCCTGAGACTGCAAAGAATTTTATATTAATTTAGACAAAAGAATAGTCATTAAAATTCTCACGATGTTGGTTGATTTTCAATAATGTTTACAGCAGGCGGTTGATTAAGCAGAGCTAAATTGTGGCAGTGAATTGCACGTTCGAGACCCGTAACAAGCTGTGAAAATTTCGCGATGTTCAGAATTGGCGACAGGTTCAACGGCCAAATAAACCTGAAAACCGCTATAAACGGTAATCCTATTTTGGTTTCAAGTTTCGGCTTATTGGTTTAATGGTTGTCATATTTCGCAACTGTGATGCATTTGCTTCACCCAAATATGAAATTAGTGAAATTTCTTAGTAATACTGAAATTGAGGTTATCCTAAAAATGCATAGGTGTGGTGGCTGGAGGAACAAGTCTGAATGAAAAATCGAAGTGCATGATTGGATTGAATGTGTGGAATAACGCGGAATTACAATGTTACAGTCAATAAAAGACGTTAATCTTAACAAGACGTTACTATTAACGTGACGTTAGTCTTAACAAAACACTGGAAAAGAGTCGAATTTACTGCCCAAAAGTAGACTTCATACAAACCTGCTTACCTTAGAAGTTCTGAGTCAGACCTCACTGGGTCTCGGTCCATTATTTGGAACCAGAGATCCTGCCCGCCTGCTGCAGGCTCCCCTGTGCACACGAACTGCGTGGAACACAGCACAGTTCGTTAACGGCAGATGAAATGCGGTAGAAGGAAATTAAAAAAAAACTTCTCCTACTGACAATTCCTGTGCTGCATTTGTAAAAAAACGAACTAACTTCTCCCACTAAGAGTTTCTAAGCTGAAGATGTAAATTCAGAAATGAAATGACTTTTTCCTACTGACAAGTCCTATGCTTTAGCCCACCTGGTAATTGACATTCACTGGAGGAACTCGCTGTTTGATAAGAAATCCATAATTTTAAGCAGTCACAGTTAGATATATACGTAACTTTATGCTCAGTATTTTTTAAGCCTCTTCAATGGGTCTCCCATATTGCTTTTTTATCTTAATAGTTTGAGCTTCATGGGACAATACAATTCCTTACAAATTTCTTTGCTATATTAAATGTTCCATATTACAGGCTTATTTGTCAGCAAGGGTTGTTGGAGTTCTTCAGGCAGGCCGTGACCGAGTGCTCAGCGCCCAGGCGCACCACGCAGTATGGGTCGACCTTCCTCAGGAAATCGTGCGCGCGAAGATCTTGAGCCTCGACCACACACACGCGGACAGCGCCCTGCAACGTGTTTACTGATTGCAATAAGACCCTAAGATCCTCAGGTAACATACCCAGAGTGTTTAGGGACACACCCAAGGCCATGCTAAAAGTATCACCTCTCCGACGGTGACTAAGCGCTGTACTAGCGACACCGAGACATTAACTGAGCTTCCCGGGGCTCGAACCCACGCCTCGCTCCTCCATCTCGGTGCCGCGGTGCATAATCACTGCGCTACAGTGACGCACAGATGATCAAGACTGCAACACTTCAGCAATGTTGAGCAATGATTTACATGACGTATGTAGGATAAAATAAAGTATTCTTATTGTAACTGAAGGTAATAATAATGAACAGAACAAAATGCGTTTAAAAATTACTTTTTAAAGACAACACTTCTAAAGAATCCTGTGTCTCCGATGTTAGACATGCACAGTGAATTTCTAATTTTATTTTTATGTATAAAAAAATCTTTTTCAAAACTTTTTAATGCATATAAATTTTGTAAACCTTTAAAGTTATTTGTTCTGTCAACTGATTCATGCATTGTCTCTGACTTTATGCAAGTGTGCAAAATTTCAGATCGATTGGACAGGTAGAAGTGTGTTAAATATCGATTATATGGTTTCTAGCAGACAAAATTATTTTTAATTTTTTTAATACTGAACAAAAAAATTATTTTTAAATTTTCAAAATTATTTATTCTGTCAATTAATTCCTGCATTTTCTCCAACTTTTCGCAAGTGTGCAAAATTGCAGATCGATTGGACAGGTAGAAGTGTGTTAAATATCGATTATAAGATTTGTAGCAGACAGACAAACAAACAAACAACAAGAAGTGAATTTAAAGAGAAGTGTTGTAAAAGAGGAAACGTTATAAGCTTCATTTTTGCAATACTTTTATGGTCTGTACATCGTTAATCTCATTGTGAGCTCAATTCACTTTCGTCCGTTTCAACTAAACACTGATCCTGAGCAAGAAGAAAATTATTATTGAAATTATGTGAACAATCTGGAACTGGCGAAAGAAGTTAGAACTCATCTTCTTGAGGCATCGTCGTCGATTTCTTTGTGCTGCCATAATTATCGTATTATTATCGTTCACCTTCACAAAGTGAACACTAGCTACGAGAAATAATTAATACGGAAATAATTGATCCGGAAATAATTTATACGAAAATAATTGATACGGAAATAATTTATAGGGAAATAATTGATACGGAAATAATTGATACGGAAATAATTGATACGGAAATAATTGATACGCAAATAATTGATACGCAAATAATTGATACGGAAATAATTGATACGGAAATAATTGATACGCAAATAATTGATACGGAAATAATTGATACGCAAATAATTGATACGCAAATAATTGATACGCAAATAATTGATACGGAAATAATTTATACGGAATTAATTGCTACGAAATAATTAGCGGTTCTTACGGGAGGGGAGGGACACCGTATGGCGGAGGCGTCGACGAAGGGCACGGAGATGCTGTTGGGGGCGACCAGCAGGTCTGAGACTGTCTCTTATACACATCTNCACAAATGCGGTGAGCAGGCAGAGCACTCACAAATGCAGTGAACAGGCAGTGCACTCACAAATGCGGTGAGCAGGCAGAGCACTCACAAATGCTGTGACCAGGCAGAGCACTCACAAATGCGGTGAGCAGGCAGAGCACTCACAAATGCAGTGAACAGGCAGAGCACTCATAAATGCGGTGAACAGGCAGAGCACTCACAAATGCTGTGAGCAGGCAGAGCACTCACAAATGCAGTGAGCAGGCAGAGCACTCACAAATGCGGTGAGCAGGCAGAGCACTCATAAATGCGGTGAAAAGACAGAGCACTCACAAATGCTGTGACCAGGCAGAGCATTCACAAATGCAGTGACCAGGCAGAGCATAGCCTAATGTTGCACGATGTTTGTTGATCACATTACAAATTGCCGTTTTCTTCAATGTCTTCGGTATTATATAAGCTTCACAAATTTTTTTTCCACAATCGACTGTGGCAGAAACGCAGGCTTTCCGATTCTACACTGAAGGAGTTGAAATATTTGATGAATGTTCGTTACGTGATATGTGCCTCGAAGACGTAGTGGTCCTTGCGGCCCGCCAGCTCAGGGTGCTCAACCACCTTCACCCACTGCACTACCGGCGCCTTCGTGCCCAGCAGCAGTGACTCCAGCCTGTAAAATATAACTCAGTACTCACTGCAGTGAATGAAAGAGAGCGCATTTTCTCGTCCATCCGTGACGTCAAGTCACGGACGGACATGACGAGCACAATAGCGCATTTTTTTTCCATAAATGAGAAAATGAGCTAAAAATGAGGTATGGAGTGAGCAGTGATGACACACTGAGCAGCACACGCAGTAATGGCACTCTATGTGGCATTCATTCCTTGAGACAAATCTGAGAAGTTACATAAGTTATATAATTTGCTGAAGGTACTGGATAGAAAGATATTTCATTGTAGGTTTTTTATTCCGAGTGATAATTTTCACTTAAGAACATTAAAGGAATTGGATTTGGAATCGATTCGCTAATTCTAATTACATAATTCCTTCCGGAGCATTTCTAATGAATTCCTCCCTTCTTTCCTAAAGCATAATTCCTTCTGGAGCCATGCGTTTTCGAGTGTCGATAATTTTGAAATGACGCTTTAATTAACGAACTCAAAAAGGGCAACACAATTGCAATCTGTTAAGAAATTATAGAAACAGAATTGCACCTCGTAGCAATACGTATGGGCTCTTAAATTCAATGAACGATTCCTGCGCAGAAAGTGAAAAAAAATTCCCCCAAGACATGGCAAAATTTTTAGCTCTGACTATCACGATGCATAATTTTTATTTATGATCAACACGATTCTTAAGTAAGTTTCATTGATGATTATCGTGATTCATAACAATTCATAATTTCTTTTCATGATGATCACAATTCACAATTTCTGCTGATTATCTTTACGAATCATAATTTTAATTCTAGATCAAGAAGACTCATAACGCGACCTGCTCCTGCAGACCAGAAAATTACACCAGGAATCCACCTAACACAATTATCGTCTGTTTGAAGCAACATTTAGTTGATGATGCAGTTATGGGGAATCCCGCGAGCAAACGGAGCCAAGTCGGGTGTGAGTAATAATATTTTTATTATAAGCTCCTCGATGTTTAGTCACTAATTGCATCATTCGATAACACTTTATCTCTAGTATGAATCTCTTATCACGATTAACCGGATGGGTTGTTGTCCTTCACCTCGATAAGTTTTGGTCGCACACGTGATTGAAGAAAAACAAAAATGATACGGTAATATTTTATGTAAATGCACTCACTGCGATATTATAGATAAAACAATATATATATATATATATATTACACAAATAACCCGAACTTCAGGATATAATGCCTTTGCCGGGGGGAGCGGAGGAATTACTAATTACTTCCAAAAATATTGGTTTTGAGCTTTAATATCATGTTACGCACTCCTGCCAATATTCATAACTTTAATGCCCAAAACATTGTCATATATGAGCTGATAATTCTTCATAACATTGACGCTGATCCTAGCAGTAACTAGTAAGTAAATGATCTTCACCTGAGGCCCACAAGTTGCTGTAGCGGCACCCCCATAAAGGATCGCTCCTGCAGGTGTTGGTTGGCAACCTCCAGCAGCTGTGCCAGCTTGTCCCGGAAGAAAGGCTGTGCGTGCGGCCAGCACTGGCGAAGCAACTGCGGGGAAGTGCAAGTTATTTCACTTCTACCGATCACATTACCAAAGTTCTTACGATATGCATTGTGAAATCCAAGCACCACCTGATCAAAGTAGATTTTTCTAAAAATCCAACCAGTTTCAAATGTAGAGCTCAAATTTTTACGAGAGTACGAGAAATATTATTATTATTCGTAATATTACCATTTTAACATAATTTGGCGATGCATACTGATTGAAATGATATTATGATTCAGATCATGATTATGATCTGAATATTATGATATTATGATATGATATTTGGTTTCAAGCCATGTTGACGAAGGTGGCTCTTTTTCAGTCTTTAATTTGACAGCTTGGGTATGAAGGTGACTTCACGAGTATGTATGTCCAAAGTCACTCGCAAATTACTCTTTCTATTGAATGTGATAAGAAGACGCAACAATAAATAAAAATATTTCTAGCGTCACACTCACCATGTTCACCCACTTGACACGCTCCTCTTCTAATTTCACCTGCAATGAAAAAACAGACAAAGAATTATAGCAAGGAAACCGTAAATTGGAGCACTTGAATTTTTGGATAATTTGGTTGATTAGAAGATCTGACGGAGGTAGAAGTCTGTGAAGCCCTCAAAAATTTAAATAAGTCACGGTTGACGTTAGTTTAACGACGTTTTCTGAGGGCGTTAGATTGTTAATGTTCTTAGTTTAGAGTTCCATGTTCTTAATTTCCATTTGACTCCAAGTTCGAGGACAAGGTGCTTTTAATATAGGGAATCTGCGAGTGAACTTGTTGTAAATATACACTTGTACTTATACACTGCATGCATATGTGCGAGGTGCGCTTCTGCGCAATAATTCTGTAAAGAGTAAATGTTCAATCTTAGCTCAATTGTTCTTTTTAAAGTGTTGAGTGCCACTTTATTCATTTTACCATTACACTTACCTTGTTTTGAATTGGGTGTAAATAGCCTCTGTCAGCGAGATATTGTGCAAGCCAAACCAGCGTGCTGGGATCAGCATCGTGTACAGCTTCTCTTAGATCAGATCTTTTCCTTCTCGTACTCACTTGCTTCTCACTTGCAGCCAGCCAAACTATCGCCATAAAAAGAAGCGCCATGCTTATTTTGCCCAGTGCAAAAACGACAAAGACTATCATAACATAAATAAAAAACGAACGGAAGTTAATCAGCTGATGTCGGTCGTTGTACGCGGTCACAGTTGCTACCGCATCCACCAGAAGAACTCCTAGCTTGTCTACAAAACGAACGAAACATTTGCTGATGTATAACATCAGACAGTCCCAAGAAGTCAACGGTTGACCACTAAAATCTGATTGAAGGTAATCTTCCATTTTTAGCTTTCAAGTTCCAGATTCATTTGCAAATAGCGTCTCTACAGCTGATAATGAATGAAATATATTCGTCCCGTTGCAGCAGAAATATGGCGAACATCTCTGGTGGTGAACATTTTAGAATCTTCATCTTTCATTGTTCGAATGAAAGTTGTAGTCTTCTATCACTATTCGTTTCACTTCCACGACACATTGATTCATCACTGCGGGAGTATCATCTCCTCCGGAGTCCAACGACATACTAATTTTTCGTTCTGGGAAACACGAGATAAGGACGCTAGTGGCTTGATAACCCTAGCGTTATCGCACGCGGTGATTGTAGTCACGGATCGCTCTACCTATCGCAAGGAGCCGGAGGTTCGGCTCCTGGTAGCTTCGATCGCGGAAGTTTACATTACCATTTTTTACTTCTACCCGCTGTGCTGTGGTTGCAAATAAATTAGTTACGTTTTGCTTGGATTGATGGACCTGTGGACTCTCCCATTCAGTATCTAGTGTGGTGCTTTACGTTTATGATCACCAATCGAGAGCTCTTGAAAGGTCCCATCTCCTTCAACTGTAGGTTGGTTAGTTAGTTTAGTGGACAAATGTTTACTAGCGCTTCAGCTATTTAGCTATCTCGCACCGAAATTCAAGATGAACATCACCAAAGAGGTGGAAGGTCTCAGTTATTGAAAGTTTCTTAAATCCAAAAATTATTCATCACCCACAAGGAGCGGAAGGTCTCAATTGTCCAGTCCGCTGAAGCTGGCTCGAAGGAAGGAGCGTTAGCATCTCAAAGAGACGAAGTGACAAGGAGGGACAGGTGAAAACAAACAGAAGCTAAGACACTCGAACAAGAGGTCGCTTACACGGGTCGTCGGCCGCCCGCACGAGAGAGACAGAGAAGGGAAATGTAAGGAATCCTACCTACATAATAAATTAATGTAAGGAATCCTACTCTCATAATAACTTAACCCCACAACTGAGATCTGCAGTCAGACACCGCGAGCTCAGCAGTGAGGCGCTCAGGAACAATCCCCCTAGGAGCGCGAAATTTCTTAGGACTTCAACTGTAAGTTAAAAACCCTTTGTTTGGACTAAAAAGTATAAACTTGGAACTATCTTATTTTTCTGCGAGTTATTTGACGGCAACATAGTAATACGAGATGAAGGAACAAATGATGGGTCATCGTTGCAAGCAGGCTGGCGCTGCCTGACCTCAGTATAACAGGTGTAGTCACTGAGTCTGAGATGCCAAGCGTGTTCCCTCTACCTCCTGACACCTCACTGCCTCGCAAGAGCTGATGGATGCTGTGCGTCATCATGGCGGTCCCGCGGTGCAGTCGTGTAGGCTGAATGATACTAAATTTTGAATGATATATTCCCTACTTCTGAATTCAAATTGCACGGATTGTTTCATTCATTACAAATAAGATATGCAGAAAACTCCCCCAAAAGTAAAACTTTGGCCAAATTCTGTGGTTGAATAACAGTACAATTTACCGGAGGCTTTAATGTCTTAGAGGATCGATCATTTCCTGAGAACGTGTTTTTATTGTCAATAATGATATTACAGATACTCTCGATCTTGGTTTAATTGGACATATTCATGAAAAGGAATCTAAAATGTGCACGGGTCATTATGATGTTATCGTTTGACAGAGGAAATCATTCAAATAATTCTATTGTTACCGGAGCATTGTTGAGGTTGTTCAGTGTCCAGCCTTGAGTGGGGAGGATATCTCAATTTATTTGTGACCGTAAATTTTTTGGTTGTTCAATAGCTATAAGTTTGAGAGGAAATAATTTTGTATTATATGATACGAATCATTGTAATTGGGCTATCAGATCGCAGCACTATCTGCCGAGATCACGATAGGTGATGGGATGTCGTAATGAACCAAGACGCGTGTGACGATGGTTGATAATTTTGTCTTATATTCTTTTACGATTTTAATTTTTTTGTTGAAATGGAAAGTTTTGTTGTCAATGGTAAACAAGTTTATGCCTGATTAGCGTACTCTTACTTTAGGAATCAGTCTGGGGGTAAGGGAAGTTGATGTGTGCATGGCAATAAAAGGATAATTTTAGAAATATTTAAACCACGCAAGAAATGAAGTCTTGGTGAGGGTTTGGAGATCAGTTTTGTAATTTTTTTTAAACTTTAATTGAAATTTTGAAGCCATTATTACGGATATGACGTGTGAAGTTTTCTTCATTAAACTTTTGCAATATTCCTTTGCAGTTGTTCTTACTGGGGTGAATAAATGCAGTCATCTAGCAGTGTATGTTAAGAGATTTTATCCCATTCACCCCTGCAATTAAGTGAATGTTTATTGTGACGAACTATCCTCAGATTTTCAGATTACTAATCGCGTCACCTCCAAAGTTCGAATGGTCCTCTCGTCACGCCTACCAAGACCGGAAAGTAAGACACTTCCCTATTGTAAGCCAGGCCCAGGCTGAACGGCATTTGAAACGCCAATGACAAGCTAAAGTTGATGTAGTAAAGGTAAACTGCTAATTATTAAAGTGACGAATCAGAACGGGTAACGAATGCGAAATGATAAATTTGTTACTCAACCAATTCCGAGTAACCAACAAATTGGTTACTCGGAAACAAATACCAGCAAATCGGACAAGAAAGAGAAAGCTGTGACAAATCTAATACGTAAAGAGGGAGCTAGAGGAGTTGCTAGGTAGAACGAGTGATCCTAAAAACAAAAAGCAAAGAATAAATACCCAAACATGATAAATCAGTTGTATGTTCGCTGATATCACGGTATTTCACAGTACATTCGAATTTCAACACTTTCGCGAGTAACAACTTACCCTGGCGTTGGAGTTAAAATCTTATTAGCGATGAACCATTACGCCAATCGGGATCAGCAGCTTAACTGACGGCTACCAAAAATATAACGCCCTTGTCAGAGATGGTCATGCTTGATCTTAGCGGCCTAATGGCAAGTAGTAGGAAATTTTAAGCCTACCATGTATATTATATATACGAATTCGAATTTCGTGCAATTAACTGTTATTGCATCAGTGGAAATCATGAAGTATTAACTGGAATATTACAAGACCAACTGAAATTGAGTTCATTATTCAAAATTCTAGTAAAGATTTCCTTCGAAGTTGATATCTCCGCTCAACCACAGGTTAGGTTTTTTCTGCACCTCACGGCATATTATAGTTATTCATCGTAGTGTATTTAGCGCCAGCCGCGCAATCAGCAAGGGTTGTTGGAGTTCTTCAGGCAGGCCGTGACCGAGTGCTCAGCGCCCAGGCGCACCACGCAGTATGGGTCGACCTTCCTCAGGAAATCATGCGCGCGTAGATCCTGGGCCTCGACCACGCACACGCGGACCGCGCCCTGCAAAGCGTTAACGGATTAAAAGACCTTAAGATCACCAGGTAACATACCCAGAGTGTTTAAGGGAGCGCTAGGCCATGCTGAAAGCACCACTTTTTTGACGGCGACTAAACGCCGTCCACCAACGACACTGAGACTTTAACTGAGCTTCCCGGGGCTCGAACCCACGCCTCGCTCCTCCATCTCGGTGCCGCGGTGCCATCATCACAGCGCATACAGCGGCCGTGATGATGGCACCGCAATTCTGAGCAAGAAACTGCGCTACAGTGACGCACAGATGACCCGGACTTCAGCACTTCGGCAATGGTGAGCAATGTTTTATGTTACGCATGTAGGATGAAATAGAATAGAATAGAAGTGTCGGCACTGAAGAAATAGGCCTATGGCATGTTGCCGATTCTTGAATTTTTCGTGAATTGATTCACGAGGGATCCGGCCTTTGGAACCCGATCTTTCCATAACTGACGATTGATTGAGATAGCTGCTGGACTTAAATGAAGTATTCTCATTGTAATAACTGAAGGTAATAATAATGAACAGAAAAATGAGAGAACGTTATAAGCTTGATTTTTTTCAATATTTTTATGGTCTATGAATTGTTAATCTCATTGGGAGCTCAATTCAGTCTCGTCCGTTTCAACTAAACATTGATCCTGAGCAAGAACAAAATTGTTATTAAAATTATGTGAATAATCTGAAGCTGGCGAAAGAAGTTAGAACTCATCTTCTTGAGGCATCGTCGTCGATTTCTTTGTGCTGCCATAATTATCGTATTATTATCGTTCACCTTCACAAAGTGAACACTAGCTACGAGAAATAATTAATACGGAAATAATTAGCGGGTATTTTCGTCGGTCTTTTTATGCTACCATAATAACGTTCACTTTCTCAACGTAAACTCTAGTCACGAGAAATAATTGATACAGAAATAATTAGCGGTTCTTACGGGAGGGGAGGGACACCGTATGGCGGAGGCGTCGACGAAGGGCACGGAGATGCTGTTGGGGGCGACCAGCAGGTCTGAGATGACCTTCGTCAGGAAGGAGTGCATCAGCTTCCTGCAGACGCATGATTTTTCATCACTTTAGCTGCAGCTTTCAAAATTTCGAAACGATTAAATTGAAGTGCCTGCAGTTGTGCTTGTTGCGTTCGCAAGCTAAATTAGAGAAGACAAATAAATCTAACAAGAAATTAAGTTACATAAAACTTTTAAAATAAACTTTGAATCACCAAATAATAAGAATGGAATTTGGAATCCGAATTCAGCGGCTGCACTTGAAAATTTTTTTTCAATTATCGGAGGTTCAAGTGGATAGTTTCTTGCCAGTTTCAGAGTCTCCAAAAAATCTGATGAAATTAAACAAAAAAGACGCATATATAGTATGTTTAACTTTATCCGCGTGATGATGTGCAATACTGACGAGAAAAGCTCGCCCGACACCATGTCTAGCGCGCTGGCGGTGCTGGTGGAGTTGAAGTCGATGGAGGGAGGCTGGAGGAGGTAAATATATAGTATGTTTAAGACGCATATATAGTATGTTTAACTTTAGCTGTGATATAATGTTCAATACNACACTGACGCCTGCCAGCCCCTCGAGAAGGCTTCAAGAAAAATGGCTGCTGATATAACAATAAAGAAGCATTCAAGCCCTGTCTCTTATACACATCTAGATGTGTATAAGAGACAGGACCAGGCAGAGCACTCATAAATGCGGCGAAGAGACAGAGCACTCACAAATGCAGTGACCAGGCAGAGCACTCATAAATGCGGCGAAGAGACAGTGCACTCACAAATGCAGTGATCAGACAGAGCACTCACAAATGCAGTGAACAGGAAACGCTCTCACAAAACAAGTTACAAACTATTGACCATCAGATGCCTCTGAAATAGCTGGTTGTAATTTTAAATGATTTTATATAATCAAATGGAAACGCAAAATCAGAATAAAATCCTTTATAAAAGAGAGTATTCAGACTACGGAACAAAAGTAATTTTCCATAATTCATCTAGATGAATATGATACGAGACAAAAATAGCTTGTAAGAAATATACTCACGTGCAAGTCCCGAATTCCCGCTTTAAACTTTTTCGAATAAAGCACGAGCTCGGCGTCGCTGATGTACCTGCACACGGGACAAGATGTGATTTATATCGATATGCTAAGCTTCCTATTCCAGTCCTTTATTAGAATATAATAGAATAGAAGTGTCGGCGCTGAAGAAATAGGCCCATGGCCTGTTGCCGATTCTTGAACTTTTCGTGACTTGATTCACAAGGGATCCGGCCTTTGGAACCCGATCTTTCCATAGCTGACGATTGATTGAGATAGCTGCTGGACCGAATTCATGACTGAATTCGGATGAACGATGTGTCTTTTCCCTTGTAGGAACATTCAATGTTAAACTTAGTTATAATTAGTTAAATCTTCAATTTTTCTAATAAGATCAAGCCTTTCGTAAACATCCGAACTACTTCTAAATTGACTTTTTCTTTCTTCGTTAGTCGAGTTAACTGTCACTTCACTACAGCCTTGTCCTCCAACGTTCAGGATGCCACTTACGGATACCTACACCTAAATACACTTTCCTAACACTCGTATCTTTCAATTAATTCTCGTATAAAACTCTCTTTGCGTGTAACTTAGCTTATATAGTTCTGAACCAACATACCGCTATACCCTAATGGGTATAGTGGGTATACCCAGCCTAATGTTGCACGATGTTTGTTGATCACATTACAAATTGCCGTTTTCTTCAATGTCTTCGGTATTATATAAGCTTCACAAATTTTTTTTCCACAATCGACTGTGGCAGAAACGCAGGCTTTCCGATTCTACACTGAAGGAGTTGAAATATTTGATGAATGTTCGTTACGTGATATGTGCCTCGAAGACGTAGTGGTCCTTGCGGCCCGCCAGCTCAGGGTGCTCAACCACCTTCACCCACTGCACCACCGGCGCCTTCGTGCCCAGCAGCAGTGACTCCAGCCTGTAAAATATAACTCAGTACTCACTGCAGTGAATGAAAGAGAGCGCATTTTCTCGTCCATCCGTGACGTCAAGTCACGGACGGACATGACGAGCACAATAGCGCATTTTTTTTCCATAAATGAGAAAATGAGCTAAAAATGAGGTATGGAGTGAGCAGTGATGACACACTGAGCAGCACACGCAGTAATGGCACTCTATGTGGCATTCATTCCTTGAGACAAATCTGAGAAGTTACATAAGTTATATAATTTGCTGAAGGTACTGGATAGAAAGATATTTCATTGTAGGTTTTTTATTCCGAGTGATAATTTTCACTTAAGAACATTAAAGGAATTGGATTTGGAATCGATTCGCTAATTCTAATTACATAATTCCTTCCGGAGCATTTCTAATGAATTCCTCCCTTCTTTCCTAAAGCATAATTCCTTCTGGAGCCATGCGTTTTCGAGTGTCGATAATTTTGAAATGACGCTTTAATTAACGAACTCAAAAAGGGCAACACAATTGCAATCTGTTAAGAAATTATAGAAACAGAATTGCACCTCGTAGCAATACGTATGGGCTCTTAAATTCAATGAACGATTCCTGCGCAGAAAGTGAAAAAAAATTCCCCCAAGACATGGCAAAATTTTTAGCTCTGACTATCACGATGCATAATTTTTATTTATGATCAACACGATTCTTAAGTAAGTTTCATTGATGATTATCGTGATTCATAACAATTCATAATTTCTTTTCATGATGATCACAATTCACAATTTCTGCTGATTATCTTTACGAATCATAATTTTAATTCTAGATCATTGTTCTTGCCGAGGTGAAGTACTTTACACTTGTCAGCATTGAAACGCAGCTGCCACGCATCAGCCCAGTCAACTAAACTATCAAGATCATTTTGCAGTTGCATTTTATTTGACGCATCCTTAACTGTATTATAAACTTTTGTGTCATCGGCATACATGGAGCACACGCTTGACACAACTTCTGGTAGATCGTTTATAAAAGCGACGAACAAAACAGGTCCAAGAACGCTTCCTTGCGGTACGCTACTTCGCACAGTTACCCAGTCTGATACGGTTCCGTTAATGCTGACACGTTGTCTTCTGCCTACTAGGAAATTCCTGATCCATTGGAGTACATTTCCCTCTATTCTCAAAGTCAGTTTGTTAATTGTTTTGTCGAAACTTGAATTGAATTTGGAAGTCATTATTATATGACTGTTCACCATATACGCTACAGCGAAGCATCACTTAGTACTCTTACCAGCTCTCGAATAGTTCCCAACTCACAACGTATGGCGACCTAATAGCATAGTTGTCTCGGTTCCTTGCACTACCAGACTGCGGTTGCAATAAGCCACCCGTTAACCCGTAACAACCAACTGCCGTGTTTGTCATTAAAATACTGCAAGATAACTCAATTTTATTGTACAAGTATTCTCTACATTTTCGAACAGATAATAGAGCCAGTCCCCGAAATATTTTCGTAAAACATATGAAAAATTTTCTAAGGTTTCTTTTCCTCTCAACTTAGTTAATTTTGAATTACCTCATTAATGCCAGAATTGATCATTGATGTTCAGTAATAGGTATTTGAGTATTTTAAGATGAGAAGAAATTCAGTGGCAATAACAATATTCCATTCACTTTTCAACCGGAGGGACGCTGAGAAAGATGAGTTACTCATTTTTAATAACAGAAATGTAAATTTTTGTGTCACAATCAGTTAGGGAATTTGATGCAAAAAATTCAGACAAGGCTTGCAAAGGCAAGAAAATTTCTCATTTGAAAATTTATGTCGAATATGACTTAGCTCATAAAGCAGTTCAAAGTTTGACTTTATTTGAAACGGTACGAATTCAATGAGCAAACAATGGCAGCAGTTAAATAATGAAATAAGCTTAATTTAATTTATTTCACGTGTTTATGCACAAATGCTCTTATGGATTGAATTTTGGAGAGGTAATTGCTCTACAAATAGAAGATGTAGGGGAGCTACATAAGCAAAACGTGCTGGTAGGAAGTACATTGTGATGCCATACGCCATGCGAGCGTGTTTTAAGCGCATGCACTTTAGAAACTCCCAGTCACAGTTCTCAGAAGTGGGGGAAGAAAAACGCTTTTCCACCGCTGAAAAAAATACAAACATGATCGTTCCTGAACAGCACGTCCAAAAATATTTCACTGTAATAAACTCCGAAGTTCTGCTCTAGAATACTAGTGTGAATAGCGCGTGGTGACTCTTAGTTCATACAAAAGTCTTACTGAAATGTACACTAAGCCTTGACATCTACAGACAAGAGAGATTGTTAAGTTGGTGTACTTTTCGTTTTATTTTGAAAGGGTGAAATTAAATTCTCAAGTTTGGTTCACCTATTAAATTTTTCTCCGTCATTCTTCAGAGAAGCTCTTGCTTCAGGCGAATTGATTCGGACGGTTTGGACTAACCACTGACCTTTATTCTGTGACCCAATCCTGTAGTTTCTAACCTTTTTTTTCTCATAAAAGAGCATGAAGTAGAAGAAACGAATTCAAATGGAAGTTAGTGTGTATTTAATGCGCGTATATTGATAATACATTACCGCTAGGTATCTTCTGAGAATGTCTAAATTGAATTTCCGATGAAGTTCAATAAATTTGCACAGATTAGCATCGTCGATGTGAAGGAACTTTAAGGTACGAACTTCTGTATCACAGAACACAAAGTAATAGGGTTCGCATATAATTCATTAGTATGGTTCTTTTGTGTGCCATCTGAAAGCTAATCACGACGTTTTTCTGTCAGTTTACGGACATGAACACAAACATTTTAACAAGATGAAACTTTCGGACATCATAGGAATTTTAACTCCATACATGTCATAAAAACCACGAAACCTTGAAAGTGGTGCATAAAATTTGAACATTTTCCCTTAAACTACTGCTGCTAAAAATTTGAAACTGTTATTTGTTATATACGTAACATATATATTTTACGCTATAGTTTATCCTTATTTGGTTTACTAGAAATTGAGGGGGGACTACACTCAAAAATTCAGACGGCATCGATTGCTCCTGATGATGTACATTTGGAAAAATTAGCTGGAACTTTTTTTTTCATAGAATTATCCATATGTTTCATGACCGCCAACTGTTGGGGATTAAGAACGTGAATCGTGCACTACCGATGTCATCACCAAAGTCTCCTCTTCCAGGTTTCATGTCCTAGTCAACAGTAAAGCTGACCGTACGTTCCGTTTCAACCGTGAAAATCTGGGTAGGGACTCGCATGGTTAGGTGCCATTAACACGAATTCCCTAAATCTTTCTCAATGTTCAAGCATATTCAGCTAATGCAATGGTTAATTGCTATAAAATAAACCCAACATCATAATATTACATATGTCATCACTGACAATTTTTCTATTTTGCTTTCGTTCGCGAGTTATACAGATATAGGAGGAACAACCGGCTTTTCTACCGGCCGGTTTAACCAAGCGCCGTTTACGTATAGCCGTATAACTCGCAAACGAA